TGCTCACAACGTCCACAAGGTGAGTGGAAATCAGTAAATTTTCATTCTGAACCTTGTTGATAACTGACCGTATTAGAATGCGGAAGAGTCTTGCAAGTAGTATTCCTTATGATTACTCCCATCACACTTGTGTGAATGCAGTATACTGACGTGTACGCATTTGCGATCCGAACATTTGATAAGTCCAATTTGACTGTGATTTTGAATAATGAGGGAAACGTAATAGTATATTTGTAATAAGTTGTTCTTCCGGATTTTCAGTGGAGGTCTAACTAGGATCGATTCGTGATTTAAAAACTATGGAAATTCGACGAACTACACAAAACATGTTATGGATAATAATCACGCGCTCACTAGTGGCTAGTTGTAAAATTCAACTCATAGGATGCTAGTAAGAAGCAGTGATCAGTGGAGTTCGACCATTTTGAATAGGAAAGTTGTCCACCAGGTGATGGAAGATGGTTGCAAAATGTCGTGAATTCATTAAACTTCAACATTATCACCGTAGGATATCGGAACACTGGTCTAGAGGTGAGACACTCACACGTGAGACCAAAGGTAATTTTTTTATTCCAAGGTGTGTGGTCATGAATGATTACTGCTGAGATGTCCTATAGTGGAATGAAACGAACATCCAGTGATACCAGTCTTTTCAACGCTGGTCCAACCAAGATTAGTTTGTGACTTAAAAACTACTAAAGTGGAACTTTTGCTTTGTAGACAATGGATAATTGCTGATGACATGTATTTCTTGGATAGTTCTACAAATATCAGTCACACTTTTAGTGAGTACTGAATGGAGAATAAATACACTGAGTATTTTTCTCTCTAGAGACAACCAGGTATTCTCTGTAGAGCATTGTCACTTTTCGGTTTATGAACTTGGAATACTACTAAAACTGCCTGATTTATTTCTCAAGTGATCAAACACTCAAGACATACTAGTGAGATATAGGCGGATTCAGGCGTTAAACGTTAGGACTACTCACTGTTATATTTCTAAATATTATACATTATTCGTTCCTAGTTGGAAAGTTGTTCTTTGATTGTGAAGTCACAAAGAAGTTAATTTTTAGTAACCCAATACAACAAAACAATAGTCAGATTCATCGTGTCACTGCATTGGATGTTAACTTGCAATCTCACTCCTCCTATGAGGAACATTCCAAGTGCATTATTTATGAGCCATAATATATTCTTCAAAACAGTAGAGCTTCGAGTGTATAGAAACTATTAGAAGTGGAACTGATATGTTGCCGTCCACAGCAAACAATAAATCGTTCTTTATACATGGAACCATTCAGCTCACAGAATACACATCCAATGAAGCATAAAACTGCTCGGCACCCAATCCTATTCCTCAGCACAATCGATAAGACATTATCGGAATCTGAATATTAACAATGACTGTTGTGAATATTCTACTTGCTTGCTCACCTCTATTTGTCTCTTTTCTTTGTTTGTCTACACTGAAATATGTTTTCTAGCTAATCCAGGTCTATCAGAAAAAGATAAAAAAGATTTGGAATTGCTTAAAAAGACTCCAGAATTTCAAAAAGTCAAAGCAAAAATTATGGCCCTATTAGATGAGAAAATAGACAAATTTGTTCTGGATCAAATACGTAACAAGTAGTAAATTATTCTCTAATGAACTGCAAAATGCATGGATCTGTAATACACTACTCAACAAATGTTGTTTCACATTGATCTATTTCTTTATTAAAACGATTTGAAACTTCGATTTATTTACTGATATACATTGGCTGTGAGTTGGTTGTAATAGTTCATTGTTCAGGTGATAATTAGAAGTGTTCGAATTCATGTACGAACTAAGAATTCGTGAATTAGTGCAATTTAAGACAGGAAGAACTAGATGAACACAAATGAAAGTATTGTATTTGGAATTCGTAATCAGTGTGTAATCAAGTACTAATGAATCAGTAGTAAGTGCAAACACCATAATATCACACCAGTGTCTTAGATGTGATGTGATAGTTTCGATTGTACCTAGACAATCCATTAATTTTTTGAATGTAGTCATATCCAGTAGATGAAACTTAACCATATGAAAACTCAAACCACAATAAAACTGCACAGTTCATCCACTTTGAAATGATGATATGGAGACTTCTTTACAAACAGTCTATACGTCAATAGAGAATTGTGAATTTATTACTGAATTAAGTAATAAAACACAGAACACTTTAATGCTCACATTAAATGTACAATGAGACGTTTTATAGATAAAATATTTGACCGTTATTATACTTACCGATTTGTTGAATACACTGGAAACCTTGGATTTATTATGAGTGATTATTATGAGAATATGGAAAAGTGATCTCGAGATATATTCAGACTTGCACTCACTGTTCATTTATTAGTTCACCCAACATCCATAAAGATTTTATATCCATATTTTCATTCATGTCATTTTCTGAAGTGCGAAATCTTTATTAATATTACTATCAATAAGAGAATCAATACAATTTGTATTTCGGCCGGTTAACTAATTGAATATTCGTTCATAAGTTGTTATTTTTTGAACTGAATAACTATTTAAGTCAAGTGTGTTGGATTTGCTATGTTGTCTAGTATAATTTCTCAGAAGGGAATATCAAAAAACTGTCTTCGTTTTTGAAGGAAATGTATCTGTGCTAATAATAGTAATTGTATGTTAAGATTAATAACCTATGGTCGAAAATATGTCGCTCTCTAAATGCTAAATGTTACTTCGAGACTGAACTCCCTTAATGTATAAGCTAGTGATAGAGGATCAAGTAGTTGAGTGATTCGATTACTTCCCGTATGTTAGAAGTCCCATCAGACTTGTTAGGTTGTTATCTTACGGAATCACTGAACGTATGAGGAAATTCCTCCTCATCCTAACCAAATTGCATCACTTGTGATGTAAACGAGACGTACGTTTGTCAACCAAATGTTGGGTCTACTGGGCAATAGTTCTCACTGTTCATGTTCATTGAAAGTGCAATACATGTATAGGGTACAGGTTCTCGATTTTCGATGTCTTCGAGACACTGCCAGCTTTTCGTGGAACAACCGAGTGAACAGTGCTGTGGTTAGTAATAGGGTACCAGACAAAAGTGCTAAATCGGTCGATGGGATGGCGGATCCTCATAAACTGAGATGCTCGAGGCAAACTTTAATTTCTCCTAATCATCGTCTACCTCGAAGTACGACTTCAACTAGTGTAAAAGAAGATTGGAAGAAAGTTGCGGATGGTTAAACCAGGACGTATCATCAGCCGACGAAGTCAATAATCGTCAATCTGAGCCATGTTGGAAGATTCGGTCGACATGGTTGGGGTTCGAGATATAACGGAGATTGTTGATCGGAGTGATTGCGTTGTTCATGGTCATACAGTTGGATTCATTGTCTATCTTACTTCCGATCTCGAGTCCCAGTATTCCTTCAGGCGTACATTTTCATTTCCTTTTATTAAGGCGTATTTTCATCGTATATTTTTTTAATTTCAGCTATTGCTACATTATTTTGACTCGTTTATAATTAGTCCTGTTGTTTTCATCTGGCCGTGCTTATTTGGTACGGCAATATTAGCTAGTACATCCCTTTAACGGGTTCCACTTTTCTTATGTCTGATTGGGAATAACTAATGCTTATCTCTAATCACACAACATTCCGGATTATATTTTACATTTTACGAAGTATACAAGGATTTTCCCAGAAATAATAATTTCAACATCTGAAGTGTTACTAGGTAATAAATAACACATTTATCAATTGGAAATCGGCTACAGCAAGCAATTTCAAAAGTCAGTGAATCTGTGTTTGGTAAATCAGATAACATGTCAAGCTATGGTAGTCGACTAAAGTGAACTGTTACAAGCCACAAGTATATTACCAAATTTGAAACTTTTGTGATAATGAGCATTATGGAAACTATAAGCGCTTTTGAAATATATTTCTTTGGTATTTCGAATTATTTGAATTGTAGTGTGAACTAAGAATCCCCGAAATAACGCAATTTAATCAAGTAGTACTAGATGAGCACAAACGAATGTATTGTATTTAGAATTCGAAATCAAGCATTCAACAAGTACAACAAAAAACATTAGTTAATTCAAACACCACAATTTCACAAATAACGTGCTTTAATGTCAAAAATTAATCGTGAAACTCTCCTTCTTTTTCAGATTCTGTGATAAATAGCATGTAGTAAATCTTTTCAAATCGTCTTTAACTACAGATTACAATCCTTGAGTATGTAATATCATCATTCAATATATCATCCAAGATTTTATAGACACCAAATTAATTATATTAAGCATTCATAACAACAAAATGAAATCCAAATGATAAAAGCCACTAAAAATTGTACAATTAGAAACTTTGGAAATTATGAAAGTTTACATCTATGTAGATAATACAAATAGTATAGTTTTGAAATACTCAGACTTTATAATAATGATCGAAGTATTTTATCGTCATATGGTGACTTTAAAAAAACACATTAATGTATTATTAAAAGTTAAGCATCCCTGAAATTACGTTACCTATCCAAACAACTTTGTACCACAATTGATATTTCACTCGTCAATGAAGCTTTAGATTTGGACATTTATTGAGAAACTGAATACTTGAATTAAAGAGAAGACAATATACTAAATAGTAGAAATTTTGGTAGAATGAAGGTAAAGCGGTCATGATAATCAGAAACTATGGTAACAAAACCAATGTGTAGTTTATTTAATAATGTTATTATTGTAATAATAATGTAGGCTTATTATTTAAAAATTAGTCGGAACACGATAAATTTAAATGCAAACACACTTCTCTGTGTTGTATGGAACGTACCTCATGTTAATTGAATATCATATTAGTTAGAAGTTCACAAAAGAACTATTATTCAGTTTTAAGGCCCACCTATTAGTACACTTTATAATTCAAAATACAAAAATCAAAGAACATAAATATTGACAAGTATTTTCAGAATTGACAATAATGCAAATGAAATGACAGTAAAATATAATGTTGATTTCACAAAATACTGGAAATGAAATGTTTAATATTTCAGTAGAATAATCCATTACACTTAACTGTCATTGAATGACAAATAAGGAGAAAGTATTAACAATAAGGACACTCAGACTATATAAGAAGAAAGAATTGGATGTGGCAACAGAACACGATAAATCATCAACAAACATAATGCATGTAAGTCCACAGTTAACTATGTGTACGTAGAACTAACTTGATAACTGACACGATTCGAATGTACTTCTTCACAATCTTCTTCTCATACTTGTAAATGATGCCTGTATATTTTCCATTTCATTCACTTGTCATCCGAATTTACTTCATCATAATAATGCCTCAGTGTGGTGACACACAAATTACTACACCATCCATCACTATTATAATTTATCATGTTCTTGCCACAGTTACCACAGAATCTATCCCTATTCACATTTCATTTCAGATCCAATATCTGTTTGTCATTTTCCTGATAACCCTGGATGTGATTTTATCTCAAGCCGCAACAGGTGAGTGATAAATAATACTGTTTTATTAAAAATGCTGAGAAAGGAGGGTATAAGTACAAAAAGGTGTCTCCCTGGTACTGATATGGCAGACACTTTGTTTTCAGCATGTATTTTAATGTTGAATGAGGAATAAGGTTTCTCTAACTAATCTTTAAGATTTCGATGAATTATTTTAAATAAATGTTTGTCAAGCAACTGTGAATCGATTTTCGTGGTTCATCATTAATTTGAATTCGCTTACTTCGCCTCGATAACTCATGTATGAAAACAAACATCTAAAATGAATCATTTGTTTCGGATAATATGAAGAGACAATGTGATGCAATGAGTTATTGTGTGATGGTGTAATCGGTTATTGTATTGAAAATCCTGTATCTCGACATTAAATGATCAAGAATTTGGAAAAGCTCCTCATAGTGTAATTAGTAAATTGCAAAGTTATCTCCAAGATAATGGTAGTTCCACTATTTTTAGTTGTTTTAACTACTTGGTAAGTATCAAAACATCGTGCTGGAGGTTAGTTTCAGTTGAAATATTTCATTTTTGTGTAGTCCTTCTAAAACACTATTCATCAATGTTTCTCTGTTTAATCCCAAATGAATCTCTCCCTACCATACATGTTATATTCTCCTAATCTTTTCATTTGCTGAAATGTATCAAGATTAGTTTGATCATGAATATCATACACTTGAATCGTATTATTGTTTCAATAACTTTTATTTTGTATACCTCGAAAAATCGATATACGTTTAGCGTAAACACATCGTCGAGTATTCCACTTAAAATTTGACTATCAACAATAATTGTTATAGGTTATTTTTTATTTAGTTGATCACTTTAGTCCTTTTTCTATATGAGAAATTCTGTTTTCTACATAATTCAGGTCCTTCTGAAGATGAAGTAGTAGAAAAATTTGAAGAAATTAAAGCAACAAAAGAATTTCAAAAAGCTAAAGAAAAAGTTATAGAATCATTATCAGATAGAATTGATAAATATGTTCTGGACCACTTTCGTAAAAATCAATAAACCTACTCAAAGGCAATTGAATAATAATAATAATTAATATGTTGTGTTTTAATGATAACATTAATATTAATTCATCTTTTAAAATAAACAAATAGCCGTTTGTTTGTTTGCTTGCTTTTTGATTGATTAAAACAAAAATTTGATTTTAATAAATGATATTTAAATGTTACACCATTATTGTTGTTGGAAATTATTCAAATATGGGCATATGTTTCATTTTATTTAAGTTTCATTTACCTGATATTGTAGTGAACAGAACACGAGTGGGGAAAAACGATTTATATTTCGTACATTACAAAGTTACTTGGTAAAATAGAAAAACCATACTATAATACTTAATTTGCAAAATGTTCAATAATTGTCTCGAACTTCGTTGTTCTTGAATTTCCATACTAATTGATTTCTATTCCCGCTCTTCCTTTCTTGACCTTCCCCATCTTCTGCTACCAGACACTACATTCCCGACTCGCGTCATATACTACTTATATCAATATAAGTAGCACGCACCACAATATAACTGAACTATTCAATTTATTAATATCTTCTGGGTTATATTTAACAATAGGAAATAAACAGTTGATTAGTCTCTTATTGAAATAATCAATTATTTTTATTTATATCAAGTTTCGAATTACGGAAATACGAATTTACAATGGTATTTATTTGTAAATATCTTCTGATAATTAGAACATTTTGGTTGTATTGGATATGGAATTAGAATTTTTGACAATTGATCAATTCCGTTGATTTGATAAAAATTGATAACTTGTTTTACACAAACATTTGAGATTTGTAACAAATCTTAATTGATTAAGTGACTCGTGGATTTAAGCTAGCTAAAAAGTGGATTGGTTAAAGTTAGACTTCAACGCCGTTGGTGGTCTAGAGGTTAAGAGTTCGCGCGCGAGACTGGTAGACCCTGGGTTCGAATCTCGCAAGGTGTGATCGTGGGTGCGCACTATTGAGGAGTCCTATACTAGAACAAAACGGCCGTCCAGTGCTTTCAGGTTTTCCATAGCGGTCTAGCTTCAACTATTAAATGACAAAAAACTGTCAGTAGGATTTAAATGCGACTAACTCTAACCATACCCATATTTTCCTTTGTGAAAGAGATCATCTATTTCTGAATTTGTAGTGAACCCCAGAAAATTATGTGTAATCAATCACTTATTGGGTAAGAAGTTTCAAATCTACAAGCACTTTACTTCAGTCACGTCAAATAATTGTACATGAAGCTGGTTGTACAATAAAAAACACTTTAAAAAAATGATATTAAACTATACATATAAATTGAAATAAACAGAAAAAGTGATTTTAAAATGCTTGATAAATACCAACAAAACTCCAAAAACTAGGTTATTCACAGTGTAACTTGTATAAATAACAAGCTAATTGTACCATTTTCCACTTGCGAACACTTTTTGTCCTTAATCTCAAACTGTATCTTTATAGTAACAATTTTTAGTTGTGTTTCAACACATTGTATGACGAATTTTTGCTTTTATAATAACCACTTCCTTATTGTCAAATCAATTACTTGACCTTTTACAACCTAGATTTGTTTACATATTTGATGTTTTTGTCTAAGAATCTACATAAATGCTTATTCGTGAAGATTCTTTAATACCCTTGTATCTTGTTATAATTCTCCTGAACTTCAGTCTTAAATAAATTATGTCCCTAAATTTTGTGTTTTTTACGCATCTATTAATCCTAAGTCCATAATCCTTAATGGCTACTTTCCAATTAGCCGTTTTTGTCTAAGTTTATTCAATTTTACAGACATTTTCAGAAACTTACTTTTCAATCAATATGACTAATGACACTGATAAGCATTAGATTCAAGATTTACTACACCTACATAATATTACATATGAAGAGGTAAAATAGCAATGTAATGCTTTATCACTTTAAAAATCCCATCTATATATCACTTCTAGGTCGTCTAATATAATACAGGATGTTGATAATAAGAATCATTATATATCTTCTGAAATAGTTCGTTATTGCATAACTGTGAATAGTTGTGTTAAAGTACTATCTCAAATCAAACTGTCTGATATTAGTTATTGAGATTTGTTAACTGGCTGCTGGCTAAATAACGAAATTAGGATTCTTAATTTATCAGATTTTCAAATCACATTATCTTTATCTTTGATTCTAATATTAAAATGTAAAAGATTATCTGCATAACGTAAGCGCATGATTTGATTTATGAATGTAATTCAGAGCTTACACACAGCTCATTTTCCAATTTGCCAACAGAAAAAATTTGTATTCCTATGATAGTTGTGTTCTTTTGTTGAAATTCGAATCTAACACTCGCCATTTCAAATGCAAAAAATTAATCCACTTGCCTGATGGAATTACTACCGCTACATATTTTTTGAAAAATAGACATTATTTATTTCTGATTTCTCGATGGCATCAATTTATTAGACCCTTTGTTGGGATATTCAGAAAAATATCCCAAAAATTATCCTGTTAAGTCTAATGCTATCCTTGAACGTGAAATGGTGTCATTTTCCTGTTGGTCAATATTCGCGATAGTCCTAACTCTATAAATATACATTTGTCTGTAAAGTGTTATTTCTATTCTAATTCTTGTTCTGACCCCATAAAAAATTTCATTTACGGTTCACGTTCTGATATATTGGAGATTGGTGAACAGTATTGGGGTTGTACTGGGATATCTGAAGTTGGTCAGTCGGTAGAAATTAGAGTAGCCACCCCGCGGTTCACAATACCTTTATACCAATAAAAGTAATTGATTTTCTATTGAAAAAAGATCAACAATAAACAATTGGAAATCATGTTTACATTATATATTGTTTTAATAAGTATCAGCTTTACTAATTCAATTAACATGTTCATTCTGGTCTTATAAAGAAATAACTATTATAATTATAGAGTAGATTTTTTGTAGATTGTAGTGATTTAATAATTAAATTCATGAATCAATTAAAGCTAGATCATCATGAAAAACCTGAAAGCACTAAATTATCGTTTCATCTTAGTATTGAACTCCTCAATGTCAATCAAATTACTGATACTTTGCTACGTGAACATTACGAAAAACTCCATAGAAACAAAGAATATTGTTTTTTCTTGTTTTGTTTTAAATTTTATTTACTAATTAAACCAATCCTAATTTCTTTTTTATTATGATACTACAAAATATTCCTGTAAATATTAAACAGAATAAAATAATAAGATAAGAAAGAAAAAAAAGAAAAAGATTGTTTATTGTCTAATATAAATGAATAAAAACAAACAATTTGTTTATTCATTTATTTTTTTTCAAATCATTCATTGAAACAATAAATTATGGTTTTTTTCTTATTTGATCCAATACATAATTATCAATTTTATCTGATAGTGCATTTATCACTTTTGTTCTGACCTGTTGATATTGTGGTGTTTTTTTAATTTGTTCTAATTCCATTTTCTCATTTTGATTTTTACCTAATTAATGTAAATAAATTATATTTTTATAGGGGTGAAGATATTATCCAGAATAATAAACAAAAACTACACTAATAAATTATGTAATATAGAGTATAAAATGCTTTCCGAAAACATTCACCTGTACCGTAGATAGTTTCTATTATTTATATCAAATAAACGTCAATAGGTGAATCAATCTAATATGGTTATTTATTTCGGTGATATGATAGATTATTGAGATGAAAAATAGGGCATTATTCCTATTTTATTTCCTTAAGAATTTTATAATTATTCAGTTGAATATGAAATTTGTAATCTTTTTCCTATCGAGAAATCACTGATGTTCATTGATAAATATCATAAAACTAATTAATTATAATTAAATATCTTCATGTTGTTATGAACAATAATTAATGTATACATTTATTGTTTGCTTTCTTCACATGCTCATTTACCTTTAAAATACAATATTACTAATAATCTAGAGATATATTATTGTTTTTTAAGTTAGTTCAAAACTTTCTATGATAAATATACTCAAGCTTTCCACAATGATTATTTGCAGAGGTACCTCGTTTAGAGTATAAGTGATAAGCGTTTCCGATATAAGAATCAGCGACGACCAGATACAAAAAGTAGCATTAAAAGAGCCAAGACAATAAGCATTCAAACGACAAATTATAACAATATTTGAGTAAACTAAATGAAAATATCTTAAATGATATGAGATTTAAAAGTCAATTACTTTAAATTGTAGAAATATACCATAAGATTGAAATGAAATCCATTCACTATAATTATGAAAATATAGTTATATTTCAATATCATTTAAATTAGCATTATCCTTTTGCAGCCTAATACATTAAAATATTAAAACATTATCTTAGTTTAACAATTAATTATCAGTCTTTAGGCATTTAATATCACAAATTGACTGAAATTAATAAGTATACTATTTTTAATTTACAAAGTATATTCAGAGAGTAGTCAGACAAAAGTGGACTCATTGAGATAATATTATATAATAAAAGTTAGAAATTACTAAACAATACTGAAAATAACAAACTATCACTTAGTGCTACTTACCTTGTGACGTCTGTGAACAAATCACATTTATGGTAAGTAAAAAAACTGCGAGTAAAAATTTAATCTAAAATTAAACATAACAAAAAAACAAGTAATATGTTCAATATGAGAACATGAAAAAGAATTTTGATACTCATAAATAATATAATAAGTTTGTTATTATGGTTTAGCAATACCTACTATGTTGTAGCGAACGGTACTGAGTTTTAGTACCAAAGTGAATATCAGCTCTGGTATTCAAGTATATCCATCTCATAAGTTCCAAATAGGATGAAACATGCTTCCTGAATTTCACCACTAACGATCATCCACCTCTACTTATAACGTCTACCAAGATTTGTAAACTATCTAGTCTGCGAGGGATAATATTTTATGTTAAGAGCAGAACACAAGCAAAATGTACTGGAACAAGAACTACAATATTATGTCAAAGGATAAATCAAGAAGTTTGTGCGACACACCTGTATTTAATCATGAAAAGAGAAGTATTATAAATCTCGAGAAGGGTAATACTCTACTCTAGTGTATATGATATTGATATTATTAGTCATAAACT